ACTACTGAGACATCCAGCCTTGTGGACTGAACGACTATGGATTCTCAGCCTCTCCAGTGTGGTGCAGCCATTGTTGGACTACTTGGACTCTATCCTGTGAGCTAAGCTGATAAATCTCTATACATATATATTCATCCTACCAGTTCTGTTTCTTTGGAGAACCCTGACTAATACATACTGTTAGGTTCCTTATTAGATATTTTATAAATACTTTCAAACTTACAGATAAAGAATACATATGGAGCTGGGAAAAATGGCATAGACTTTGAATCCCAGCACTTAGGAGGAGAGGCAGGTGGATCTCTGAGCCTAGTCTGGTCTACACAGCAAGTTCCAGGCAAGCCATGGTTACTTAGTGAGCCCTGTCTCAGGAAGGAAGGAAGGAAGGAAGGAAGGAAGGAAGGGAGGGAGGGAGGAAGGAAGGAAGGAAGGAAGGCATTCTATATATAACTACACAGGAGTTGTTCCTGAATTTGAAGATTTGCAGATATCTTCTCTTTGGCTTTTTCATCCCTTTAACTATACCAGCACTTTTTTAAAAAACTTTTTAAAAATTTTATTATTTTTATTTTATGTGTATGCGTGTATTGCCTGCATGTAGGTAAGTGCACCTGTGTTATGCAATGCCCGCGGAGGTCAGAAGAGGCTGTTGGATCCCCTAGAACTGGAGTTATGGAGAGTTGTTAGCTGCCATGTGGGTGCTGGGATTTGAACCCAGGTCTTCTACAAGAGCAACCAGTGTTCTTATCTTCTGAGCCATCTCTCCAGCCCCTACACCAGCACTTTTAAATCAGAGTTTTCATCCTTTGGCTTACTTGCAGTAACACCACATTCCAATGAGGTGGAGAGTAGTTTCTGGGCTGTTCCCTCATTCCTTCCACTGACTCAATTTCAATTTCTTACAATATTTTTATAATATAGAAAATTTAAAGTCTTGCCTCAGCAAGGTAAGAATTACTACATAGTATGAACAGTGGTTGTTTCTAAGGAATAACTAGAATTGCAAATCTTAAGCCTCAGTACTAGTCTTGTGTTGTATATTGTTTTCTTCACTGTGAGGTTAAACCTTAAACATAATCTTCCAAATTAACCCAATGATACACTTACAATCATCAATGCCTTCTCCTCCTCTTCCACAGTCTCTGTTAAATAATCGAATTCCAGTAACAATCATGGTGAGCTCTTTCAACTGGCATTCTTTATCCTTCTTACCAAGAGTAAGAAATGTTCCAAGCTCAGCCTGAGGAAAAACACTCTGAAGAGCAGCTAAAATAGGTCACAAAGAAAATAAAATAATGGAATAAGAACATCAGAACTTAGATTACAAGTTTCTTTCCAGTAGCAGAAAATTAAACGACTTGTCTTTCTACTGTTCCCTATACATTTTTAAAAAATATTTCTAATACATACATGATTATAAAATCCACAGCAAAATTTACCATACAGCAAACCTGGGCTACTGAGAATAACGTTATTGCCTCAACTAAGAAACCATACATATTAGTCTTTGCTTTCAAACCCTGTAAAACTTTTGGCTTATGACAAGGAATTCTAGTCTTTTAATTCCCCCATACCCTTCAAGACTTTTGTTTATGAAAAGACCCTGATGTATTCCCAGAACCTGAGGGCCCGCAGTGGTGGGGTTCTTCCCCCTCTTTGGCCAACCCTCATCCCCCTTCCTTTGCTAAGATTCTTTTAAACTAACCAATCTGGAAAGACTGTGAGGTTGGACCCCAGCCAGTGGGGAAAAAGACAGTACTCTTTCATTAGGGATTAAAAACAAAACAACAACAAAAAGCTATCAAGCTTTCAGGTTCGATGTGCTTGCTGGATCTGACTGACCACACAACTCCCTTTTGCAAAAGTAAAAGCTGCCTTTCCAAGTTACTTTCTCTTTGTGTGTGTTCTCTGTATGGTATCAGTAGAGTCACTGAAACTCAGATTTGTTTTTTTGTCTTTTTGAGACAGGGTCACTCTGTAGACCCAGCTGGCCTGGAACTCACTATGTAGACCAAGCTGGCCTTGAACTCACAAAGATCCGCCTGTCTGCTTCCCAAGTGCCTAGATTAAAGGCATGCACCACCACACCCATTTTTGAAACTCAGATTTTATTTCTAACAATCTAGGGGGTCATCCAGGATTCTAATTCAATCAGGGAAAAAGTCAAGAACCCCAACTTTGGAGAGAAATGTCCCACTGCCTCATTGCAGTCACCCCAAGGCTTGGGCATTCAGTGCTCCCTACAGTGGTAATGATGCTGAGATGGGAAAGTTTCTCAGCAATGCAGACGAAGGGCAAGCACTGTGGAGACCTGGTAACTCTGTGCACAGAAAAGTCATGGGGATGACAAAGTATTGCCTTGATGGTCATGACAATCCAGAGGTTGTCTGAGAGTGAATGAGACGTACAGTTGAGTGCAAAATGAGTATGGAGCCCTAATCTAAAGTTCCATAGGTGTTCAGCACTTGAATACCTTCCTTCAAGGAAATCAATTGGTAAAAGGCAAAGTGGCAGACTTGGAATACAAGAAACCTCCTCCTTAGAGGTAAGGGTTAAGCTTCTAAGGGACTGGAATGAGAAATAATTGGGCCAAATTAAGTTCTAGGAGGAAAAGAGGTGGGGAGGAAGGAAGGAAGGAAGGAGGGAGGGAGGGAGGGAGGGAAGGAGGGAAGGAAGGAAGGAAGGAAGGAAGGAAGGAAGGAAGGAAGGAAGGAAGGAAGGAAGGAAGGAAGGAAGGAAACAGTCCCCCAGACAGTGGGGGAACTAACACCTCTGGCTTGCCCAGAAACTTCCCCATCCTTTTCAATATATCCCTTCCTACTCCAGCTAAGAAAGAAACATTTATTATTACTATTATTATTATTATTATTATTATTATTATTATTTTATGTATATGAGTGTATTGCCTGCATGTATGTAAGTGCACCAGGTCGTGCAATGCCTCAGAGGTCAGAAGAGGGTGTCAGATTCCCCTGGAACTAGAGTTAAGGACAGTTAGTAGCCACTATGTGGGTGCTGGGAATCAAACCCAGGTCCTCTGCAAGAGCAGTCAATGCTCTTAACCACAGTGCCATCTCTCCAGCCCCAGAAAAAAAATTTTTTTTGAATAATGCAAAAGAGACTTCCAAAATCTCTGCTTCCCTCTGACTCCCCAGGAGAAGGTCCATGCTTTCTTTCCCTTGGAGGGGGAGGAACTGGATTTGTTCATGCCCCACTAAGTAGCACTGATGTCAGAAATCTAAGAAGAGAATTTAATTTCTTACTAGAGGATTGTGCTGGATAGCTTTAGTTGTCAACCTGACACACCTGGGTAGAGGGAACCTCAATTGGGGAATTGTCTCCATTGGACTGGCCTGTGGCCATGTCTGTGGGGTATTTTCTTGATTGTTGAGTGATGTGGGAGGGCTCAGCCCACTGGTAGTGCCACCCCTGGGCAGGTTGTCCTGTGTTGTATAAGAAAGCAGGATGAGCATGGGCCAGGGGAGCAAGCCAGTAAGTAACACTCCATTCCCTGTGCTCCAGCTCCTGTCTCCAGGTTCCAGCTCTGAGTTCCCACCCTGGGCTTCCCGATGAGCTGTGACCCAGGAAATGTAAGCTGAATAAACTCTTTCCTCCAAGTTGGTATTGGTTGGAGTATTTTGTCACAGCGAAGGAGAACTAGAACAAGGACCTTTTGAGGGTAGCAGATGTTAGACCAGATCTTACAGCCCCAGCTTTATACCTGGGCTAAATCACTATCTATCCTGAGCATTTTGTTCTTGGGAAAAGAGAGGATGATGATCAGAAGGGCTGCACTGGTTATTTGGGAAAACATTGAGCAGGTCAGGGGGATCCTGGCAGGAGAGGTTAAAGTTCCCATCCAGGAACCCCACATGAAGTCCATGGGGGAGCACATGCAGGTGCTGAGAGATCGACAAGATGAAAGAATCCTTTCTTCAGTCTCTCAAAATATCTTAAGGACCTTAATATCCAACAAGGAATGGATGAAGGTTCAGCTGAAATTTTTTTAAGATATACTAAGCGATTATATGAAAAAAAAACATGTCCTGGATTAACTCTGGAGGATTCCCTTGGGCAGGGAATGCTTAAACTACATTTTATACCAACAGTTGGCCAGATATTTATAAAAAGTTACAGAGGATGGGCTGGAGAGATGGCTCAGCAGTTAAGAAAACTGTTCTTGAGGAATACCTGGGTTCAAATCCCAGTACCTACATGGAAGCTAACAACTGTCCGTAACGCCAGTTCCAGGGGATCGGACAGCCTCTTCTGTCCTCTGTGGGCATTCCACAACACAGGCACATTTACCTACATGCAGGCAACACATACACATAAAATAAAAATAATATTTTCTAAAAGTTACAAAAGATAAAAAAAAATGAGAACAAAGAGGCTTGGTCTGGTTAGGTCTGACACTGCCTTAGATCACCTGGTCCCCAGGCAGTTATTTTTCTTTGTAGAATTTCCACACAGCTTGCTAAAGTTTTAAATAAGGAAGTTTTTAACAAGTTGTTTTCTAAGGAACCTGACTTAGAGTCAATAAGGAGGGTCACAGGTCTTGACTGATCAAAGCCCACACCATGCTTGAGTAAAACAAAACGGTGCCAAGGTCACATTCAGGCACACCTCCTTTCTTCCGCTTCCTTCATGGGTTCCTTTCCCAACAACAGCTTGTATCTTGGAAAGAGCTGAGGAAAGATCCAAACGCAATCCAGAAGATGTTGCTTGGCATTCACAGTTACAACGGGTGGTAAGAATCATGGATTCCTTTTCCTTGGTTTGAGACGATGGAATTCCTTTCTTTGTTCCTTTGTTTGCTATTCTGGGACCCACATACCTGAGAGTAATTTCTCCTGCTATACCAGTTTAATTCAACTGGGTGCTTTTCTAAAGAAGAGGGTGGTTGTCCACATTTAACCTGTGAGATATGTGGATCCTATAGGGCTCCTCATTTTATCTTGGAGCCTAGTTTACCAGAGGCACAAAAGTAACCATGTGCCTTTGTGCCATCTTGGCTTGTGATCTCATCAAGATGGAGACAACCATGTGATCTGATCACCATCTTGGTTGATGACATTTTCAACACGGGGACAGCCAGAAAACTTGATAACCGTCCTGGTTAGTGACATCTTCAAAATGGCAGTGACCATGTGACCTTGCTAGTATCTTTTTTAATGCAACTACGTGGCTAAACCAAAATGGCAGCACCCAGAAACTTACCAGTTCTACTGGGCCCTGGAGATCATGGTACCCTGGGAATTTCCTGCACCACAGGGCATTTGGTCATATGTCCTGATCCCCTGGTAGTTTTTACTTTTTGGTCTTCATTTTGAATTGTTGATGAGATCACAGAAACAGGAAACTCAAAAGAGACACCAACAGGGACTCTATTGCCATGTGATAAAGCCAATGAGTTTTTATATCAGACTGAGGAGACAGAATACAAAATCCCTCCATGGTGGGATTTTGAATTTTGACATTGCTTTGTATGATATACTTACCTGTCTCTAAAGGAGACTATTTTGAGTTTTGACAGGTTTTGTGTATGATGTATTTTTTGATTTTTAAAGGTAACTATTTTGGATCTGTACATTGTTTTGCATAATATATTTATTGGTTTCTAAAGAAAACTTAGAGTTTATCCAGTCATGTGCCCCCAGCATATTCTTTCCCTCTCTGAGACTTGGTTGCTTTTGTTCTTGCCCCATCATGCACTGGGCACTTCTGTTTTTCACTTTCTAGTTACAATGACATGGACAGATTAAGGACAAAAGCATTTTGATATTGTCTCTTCCCAAGTTCTTTTAGGTGTCATTGTTTTCGGTGTTCCTTATTATTTAGATTATAGGTACTTAACCCATGATTGAAAGTGGTAAATTATACTGTGGCTTTTCTAATCCAGTTCCCTGGGGAAAAAAAAATCTGAATGTCTCATGGTTTTCTGCACTCAAGTCTGGCCTGAAGTTAAACTGGAGGCAAAAAAAAAAAAAGTATCCTCTGTTATCCTACAACTGGATCTCTTTATAGGAAGGACTATACTTAAGTTTTTCAGGTTGTTTGCCTCCATTTACAAAAACAAGCTAACATATTGTGGGTATAACTGTATGTACCCAGATAATATCAATTTGTTACAGTAATCCCATGTAGGTAATCTGTATTCAACTTTCTTTTAATAAGGTGATGCTGCCCAATGCTATCTTCAAGTCTCCGCCCCCCCCCCCCCAAAGCTGCCATCTCCATGACTTTACAGAAGGGGAGTAAGCACAGTCATTGGACTTTCACCTGAATATCCAGCCACTCCTCCTAGCCAGTTGTCTGCAGTTCTACCCTAAGCACATGTGGCCTCCTGATATTGGGGAGGACTTAGGGTATACAGGCTGGGGAAGTCTAGGGAGAGGGGCCCACCCATGAGATGGGGACATCATCGTCCATGCTGGGTATAACTGACCTTATAGGTATCGGCCTATACTACTGTGGTCGGAGGGACTTAAAAGGGACAATATTTTGCCCCTTGCACTCCAAGGTCAACTAGGTCCCAGGGGACTCTGCAGCATCTCTCAAAACATCCTCTAACTGTGGTGAGTCACCTGTCCTCTTGTATAGGAAGGTCATGGAGACCCCACCAAGTGAACTCAAACCCAGTGTCCAGTTCAAAAAAGAGGTTTAATACAGAGGTGGGGGGGACCCCTCAGTGCTTCCAAGCAAAGCCATGGTCAAACAACACCTTTGCCTTATCTTCACATAGATGGAACAGTTGGTAAAAGGAAGGCTAAAGGATCCAGAGGCTCCTCCCAAATGACTTCTTAGAACCAGATTCTCAACTAACCTTGGCAGTAAACAGAAACTGGCTAATGTGGCCAACTGTATGGTCTTAAACACCCAACAGGAAAGTATAATCAAAGATTAAAGTGATTGATACGTTTTTTTCAAGAATTCAAGGGATCACACATCCCAGATATTGGGCTTAAGTCCATGGGATGTTTGTTACTGAGATAATTACTTCTCACTAATGATTTCCTTGTTGTTAAGAAAAAATAAAAATTCAGGCTCAGTCCAATGCAACACTGCAGTGCCTACGTAGAGCAGAGAGAGAGAGAGAGAGAGAGAGAGAGAGAGAGAGAGAGAGACTACTGTTTCAATCTAAAAATTAAATGTTGGCTAAATTATTCTCTCTTCCCCTCTCTAGAAGGCATCTGGGAGGGAACTCACATTGTGATTCTAGACACTCTAACAATTATTAAAATGCCTGAAAGCAGATCTTGGGTTGTTCACTCTTGAGTCCAGTATTAGAGGCCAAAACAAAAACAAGGAGGAGTCCAACAGATGAATGCTTTTGTAAAATCATCAGAAATTCTCCTGGTTCCCTAAAATTCATAATGGCACTATATCTTACCTTTTCTTCTCCCTCACATCTTTCTAGACGCTAGTCAAGGACTTCCTTTCCTACCTTCCTCTGTCAGTTATATAAATAAAGCCACTGATGCACTTCGGGGCCTTTTAGATAGGTCTACTGTAGGGATGCTGTGACTGCCACACCCTATATTCCCATTCAGCTCTACCAGCAAAACAGCTTGAGAGACTAGGTTAGTGTTAGACATGATTTTGGGTGAAAAAGATGGGGGTTTATGTAACGCTTGGAAGAAAAAGTAATACATTCATCTTCAATAACACAGCTCTAATGAAACTATGACTAGAGTTCTCTCAGGCCTTAAGGCCCTTTCTAAAGAACTAAAAATTTAGGGATAGGTGATCCACTCCCTGACCTCCTGGAAGGATGGTTTGGAAAATGGAGATGTCTCAGGGGCTGTATGCTAAACTCTTTCACAGTCATAATGGGTATCCTGATTCTGTTCGGCTGCTGTATTACACCATGTGTTAAGGGCCTAACTCAAGTTCATTGAGTCAGCTACTACAAAACAAATGCCCCTTCCCTATAACAGTTTCTTCCTCCAAGGTCTGATAGAGAAATATGATTTAAAATAAGAGGGGTTTGTAAAAAATATTAAATATTAGTATTTGCTTTCAAACCCTGTGAAACTTTTAGTTATAACAAGGAAACACACCCTTTTGCAAAATTAAAAGCTGCCTTGCTGAGCTACTTTTGCTTTGTCTGACTGTTCTTTGTACAGTACTGGTGGGGTCTGTGGATCTCAGATTTTATTTCTAACACTCATGTCTGTTTTGTTAAGTAATCAGTTGGCAAAACAACCTTTCTAATTAAGGCTGTGAATAGAAAAAATCTATACTCTGGGGCCAGGCCTGGTGGGACACATGCCTTTAGTCCCAAATCTTGAAAGGCAGAGGCAGGCGGATCTCTGTGAGTTCAAGGCCAGCCTAGTCATTACATAAACCCCCATAGTGAGTTTCAGGCCAGCTGGAGCTACAGGGTACAGGGAGATCCTGTCACAAAAAGATAGATGATAGATAGATGACAGATAGATGATAGATAGATAGATAGATAGATAGAGAAAGAAAGAGAAAGAAAGAAAGAAAGAAAGAAAGAGAAAGAAAAAGAAAGAAACAAGGAAAGATAGATCTATACTCTGAAATATTTATGGGAAAATGTCATAGGAAGGCTGGATATTTTGCCTACTCCCCATTTTATTTTATTCTCAATTTTATTTTACTCTGTTTTTACTTTATTTTTTTGGCAGGGGAGGGGACAGGACCTCATGTAACCCAGGCTTGCCTCAAACTTGATAAATAGCTGAGGCTGGCCTTGAACTCCTGATTTTCCTGCCTCTACCTCCCAAGGGCTGGGATTACAGGCATGCATTACTATATCAGACTTTTTTAAAGTATGAAAGTGGGCAAGTGTTTCTTGAGAATAAAAAGTTTTCCTCTTACAACATCTTAATCAAATGACATACTCAATGCCTTTCACCTACATGAAATATCCCTTTTTAGCTTTCCCAGGTACCCAATTAGCTTAGTACCCTTAACAATGCTATCAGTGGTCCCCTAATGAGGTGTAATAGGCCACTGGATATGTACAACTTCTAATAAAATGAACACTGTTTCACTGCCTAGAGGTGCTACTTGAAGTTGCCAACTGATACACAGTGTAAAAGGGATCTGAGGGTTTTTAATTTCTTTAGTTAGCATAAAAATAATGGGTTTCAGCATAACATTTTCATATGCATCATTGCATTTGCTCATATTTGCCCCCATTACCCTCTCCTCTACCTCTCTGCTCTTGCTGCTCCCCCGAAGTAGTTCCTATTTGGATTTCATGGCATATACACTATAGCATATATTCATTCCATGTATAGAGAAATCATGCTGTTTTGTCTACTCTCTCTTGTTCCCTGCCCCTTAGGCTTTTTCTTCCCTTCTTATAATCTCTCTCTACTTTCAAATCATACATATACAGCTACATATTTTTAGGAACCTAGAGAAATTTGAACATTGTAAAAAATTGTTTTTTGGTCTTTTTTGAGACAGGGTCTCCTTGTAGCCCCAGCTGTCCTGGAACTCGCTATGTAGACCAGGCTGGCCTTGAATTCACAAAGATCTGCCTGCCACTGCCTCCGGAGTGCTGGGATTAAAGGTGTGCACCACCACACCCAGCTAAATTGTTTTATTTTTATTTTATGTTTTGCCTGCATGTTTAAGTGTACCCATGTGTGCAATTCCCATGGAGGCCAGAAGATGGCACTGGATTCCCTGGAACTGGAGTTACAGATGGTTGTTAGCTACCATGTAGGTGCTGGGAACCAAACCTGGGTTCTCTGCAAGAGTACCCAGTGCTCTTAACCACTGAGTCAGCTCTCAGCTCCCAAATTTGAACTTATTTTTTCTTCTTCAAACTTGTGTGTATGTTGGAGGTAGGGGGTCAAAAAGGAGAGAGACGTAGATAGAGACTGAAACAGAAAGAGACAGAGTTTCACTATGTAACCCTGGCTGGCTAGAAACTTACTATGTAGACTTGGCTGGCCTCGAATTCACAGAGATCCGCTTGCCATAAAAATGTGAGGACCAGCATTTGGATCTCCAGCACTCATGTAAACCAATAATGGGGCAGATGTGGCAGCCCTCATCTGCAATCTTGACTGACACTCTGGAGGCAGAAACAGGAAATCCCTAGCAAGCTAGGGTAGCTAGAACTGGAATGGAATGGGGAGCTCTGTGTTCAGTAAATAAAGTAGAGAGCATGGAGGAAGATACCCAGTGTCAACCTTTGGCCTACTTACACACACATGTGAACACACATATGGTTCAGTCACATACACCACACAGACATACATAGAATACACAAATAGAGTGGCCACATAGGTTCACTTATGGGATGGAAACAATTTCTAGTTTTTACCTGTTGCCTCTCTGACAACCTTGATGTCTGTGGGGGATCCAAGCCCAGATCGTAGTAACACATAGCTGACAATCTTTCGGTAAAGGCTTTCCAGTTCTTCTCTAGCACATGCTCTGTTGTCTGTAATTTCTCTGCTAACAGAGCCTAATCTGAACTCCAAGACCCGGTGATGTTCTTCAAGAAAGTCCTCTAAAATTAGCAAATAGCAATATTTCATATATTTGATACTTAGATTTTTCTCACATGGGACCTGAGAAAAACTGGTTTGTATACGGTAATCCTATGAAAACAAGTGCCTCCCTCACCATTCCACTGAGTGCTGGGAATCAAATCCTACTGAGCAAAATCCCTAAACCTTGACTTTTTAAGGTATAATAATGAAATAAACAGTGGCTATCAAGAAACCTCACCATTTATTATAATGATTTAACTGGAGTACTCTGTCAAAACATATATGCATATCATAAGTGCACACATAGTATAATTATATATGTAGTCTATATATTCTTCTTCAATTATACTTATTTCTATTTTAGTTCTAGATAAATGTTCTTTGAGTAATATTACTGATATGATAATGCATAATTATAGTCCTCTTTTTCTTCCTGTGTCATAGTAGGGTACAGACTTCATGTGGCAGGAGAACATCTTTACTAGCATAACAATTCTTGTAACCGACTCAATAAGACATCTCAATTACAATTCCAAGACCAATAATTAAGATTTCAGAAATGTAAAGCCAGGTGTGGTGGCACATGCCTTTAATCCCAGCACTTGGGAGGCAGAGGTAGGCGATCTCTGTGAGTTCAAGGCCATCCTGGTCTACATAGCGAGCTCCAGGCCTGCTAGGGCTACAGGGATACCATGTCTCAAAAAGCAAAAAAAAAAAAAAAGATTTTCAGAAATGCACTATTCATATCTACAATCACCATAAAAACCAATAACTTTTACAAACTGAGAAAAACCACAAATTATTTCAATTCCATTGTTATTTTTTGCTTTGAAATTTCATTATTATTAAGCAAAAACTAAGAGAGATGATTCTGCATATATAGTACAACTGAATCTCCACTGCACAGAAAGGAAAAATGTAAAATTGCCAGATGATTAATAATGACTGCATATAATGGGGCCAAGCGATCTGAAAAGGAATTTATTTTTCTTTTTCCCTTGTTTTCAACATGTTGTTGACATATGCATTAAATTATTTATATAATGGAATACTTCTAAACTTAAATGCCCATAACCCACTTTACCTTGGGGTAGTCACATAATTTAGATAAATATTGTAAAATAATAAGCCAGGAATAAGAAAATCTAAAAAGTAAATTTTTGTTGTTGTTGTTTGTTGTTGTTCTTGCTGTTTCAGACAGGTCCTCCTGCAGCCCCTGGTAACCTGGAACTCTCTATGCAGAACAGGCTGGCCTCTATTTAACAAAGATCTGCTGGACTCTGCCTCCTGAATGCTAGTATTAAAGGCGTGCACTATCACACCCTGCCTAAAAATTAAACATCTTAACTCCAACGGTTTAATTTCTAACTTATGTATTAGTATCATAAAGGTTAAAAGCAATAAACATGGAAACATAATTTTTATGAGCATAAAACTTTAAACTGACAGCATTTACAAAGGTCATTGGTGTTTTTCTCATTTGTATTTCCAACATTATTATATCTTAAACATGATTTGGAGAAAAGTCCTTCAAAGATTGTGTGTTAAAGGCTTGGTCTCCAGTCCACAGTATTACTGGGAGACAGTGGAACCTTTAAGAGGTAGAAAAACCTACTGGGAGGTGGTTGGGTCATTGGAGGTGTGTCCCTGAAGGAGGCCGGGGGTCCCAGCCATGAGGTGAGCAATTGTCCTCTGACATGTTTCTGTCATGACGTACCTCCCTGGGCCCAAACCAACAGGCCTAACACAGCATGGAATAAAGCCTCTAAAACTGAGCCCCAAACAAATCTTTTCTTTTTCTAAACTGATTATCTCAGATATTTGTTATATTAACAGTAACAGAAAACTGCCTAACAGATCAAAGTTGGAACATATCAAAAACTGAAAATAAATTTAAAAAATTAAACCTGCTATCAACCAAATGAAAACTTCATCAGAAATGCAATACCTTTTTAAAAACTTTCAAAATGTATGAAAATAGATAAGCAAATGTTACCTCGACTTGTGTAATTCATATCAAAGTAGACCTGCATCTTAATTGTATCCAGGGATGGGTTTTTACTATCCAATAGCCGTGCCACACAAAGCTAAAAGAAAACAGCCCATAAATACTTCTGAGTCACTCAAGATTTTTCTTTTTTTGTTTTCTGGTTTTTGAGACAGAGTCTCATATAGCTAAGTTGGCCTCAAACTCATTACATACCTAAGGATGATCTTGAAATTATGCAATGCCTAGGGATTTGAACCCAGGGCTTCATGAATGCTAGGCAAGTAGGGCCAGAAGCAGGGGTACTGACACAAGTTGCAGGCCAGCCTAGGCTACAAAAGAAACCCTGTCTTTTAAAAGAAAGAAAGCCAGTGTGGTAGCTTACACTTTTGATCCAAACACTTTGGAGGCAGAAGCAGGCAGATTTCTGTGAGACAGGGACCAGCCTAGTCTACAGAGTAAGTTCCAGACCAGCCAGGGCTATACAATGAGATCCTGTCTCAAAAAGCAAAACAAAACAAAAAGTATACTGCACTTGAGTTTTCCAATGTACCTGAGTTGGAGAGACAAAAATTCTTGAGTCATGTGAAAGAGCAAGACTTTCTGCCTGTACTTGAATTTCCTCCAGGGCTTTCCAGTAAAATTTATGACTAACTGACCATCACAGTCATAGTTCCCTATTGCTGAGAAAAGCATTTACATCAACATAAAGTCACCAGAACCAGATCTAGGCTTTCATGTGGGACTGCGGCATCTCTACCTCAGAATAATTCTGACAACAGATTGCCCAGTTCCAGGTTTCCAACCCCCGGCCACATCTGCAGTATTTGTTCTCCTCCAGTTGAATTGCTGGTTGTGAGGGAAGATAGGGCTAAGGAAGCATTCTCCTGCCATTCCCATGAGCCAAGAAAATGTCCATATACAAGTTTGAGGGTGCTTGCTTCAAGTCCCTTGTGTAAAGGAGGGAATTAAATCCATTAAGTCCAGGAGAGAAAACAGTATTGAAGTTTTAGGAAATACAGGGCAAGCAACTAATCTTGAGACCCAAACTTAAGACACTTAACATTACAGATATCTAAAGTCTTCATCTTCTCTAGTTCTTAAAATTGTTTACTAGCACATTTACTTGCTTTGTAGGTTTTGCTTTGGTTTTAACATAACTTACATAGACTCCATTATATGAATATTAATTTAGAAATATTTAACTCTATAGTCCAAGTATATTCTAGAGCAATCAATAATGGTCTCAGTGAAAGATCAATAACAGGCTATCACTAAAATACTGTAGCAGACACTGCTACCTCCCTAATATCCATGTCCTACTTTCCTTATTAACACAGAGCTCCAAATTTAGATTACAGGAAAGACTTTACCTAAGAAAGAAAAAAAAGTCCTAGGGTTATTTACAATATCATTGTGACCAATAAATGTAAGTAAATGGAAAAGAACTTGAGAAAACTATTGTTTCTGGATAGAAAGTGATGGATCCACTGGTACACCTATTTTGTCCTTTGTCTTTCCCCTTCTTTTCCACCTAGAAGTAGAGAAACTACTGTGCGACAAGGGAGAAAGCCAAGGATGGGTGTCAGGAAGCCAAGAACAACAGCCTGTATACCTCTAAACTTTGCCTTTGAGAAAATATACCCCTCAACTCACTTGTACCACCATTTTCTGAGATTTCTTTTAGAACAGTGCTAAATGCAATAATAGATAACACAAATATTGTATTTAAGTTTGAAAATATATAATTCCAAATACTAGGAATGGTGAATAACCACCTTAACAAGTTTCTTCACATCACTTTTTATGAGTGTCCTATCCATGTTGAAGCCATTACCTGGGTCAAGGACAACAGCTTTGACCTGAAAGTAGAAAAAGAATTCACTAAGCAATTGTTTTTTGTCTTTTTGAGACAGGGTCTCCCTGTAGCCCCAGCTGTCCTGGAACTCACTATGTAGACCAGGCTGGCCTTGAGCTCACAGAGATCTGCCTGCCTCTGCCTCCTGAGTGCTGGGATTAAAGGCATGTGCCACCACGCCCAGCCTATTTTTATTTTATGTGTATGAGTGTATTGCCTGTGTATATTGAGTGCACCCCTGTTGTGCAATGCCCCGGAGATCAGGAGAGGGCATCCCCTGGAACTGGAGTTAAGGATGGTTCATAGCTGACATGTGGGTGTTAGCAATCGAACCCAGATCCTCTGCAAGAGCAATCAGTGCTCTTAATCGCTGAGCCATCTCCCCAACCCACTTGATGCACTTTTAAAAGATATTTTTTCACTTAAAAAGCATCTAGGAAAGACAGTCAACTTTTATATTTTTGATAATTTTCAAAAACATTCTTACCATAAAAGCAACAACTGTTTCAGAAGCAATCTCTCCATGGGCTGAGCATTCTTGTCCTATTTCTCTTATAATATTCTTTATAACACTTTCCGCTTGAGTGGGAGGCATTGTGGCTAAATAAAATAAAGATTTGGTTGGTCATCGCATTTATGTGTGGGTTTTTTTTTTCTTTTTAGATTTAGCCATTATTATATTTGGAACAGCCATAATGTATGCTGGCTTGATTACTGTTTAATTACCTAGGCCCCTCCTGTTTTGTTTTCTTTTTTTTTTTAATAAAGGATTTTTTTTTTTTTCGAGACAGGGTCTCACTATGTAACCCTGGCTGGCTTCAAACTCAAGAGAGATCCACCTATATCAAATCAAAAGCGAGTGCCACCACACCAGGCTTTAAATGAAGGACTTTATTAATGACAGAGAGCAACTGGGACTGCAAATGATTTCCCCTTTATTTAAATGATGATGGTCATCAAAAATATATTTGTATCGTGATATTTTTTATAATTTTAAAAAAGGCTTATCAGGATTAAGAGGAAAAAAAGGTGCACGGCTTTAATCCCAGCACTTGGGAGGCAGAGGCAGGAGGATCTCTGTGAGTTCGAGGCCAGCCTGGTCTACACAGCGAGTTCCAAGCCAGCTGGGGCTACAGGGAGACCCTGTTTCAAAAAAAAAGGGGGAAAAATGAGAAACCGAAGCTCTGTGTAGGCAGCAGAGTACAGCTTGTAAGAGGATATACTTATCAGGGCATTCACTACAGGACCTTTAAGTCTAATTTCATAACTCTAAGAAAAAAGGTTTTATTCAGATCATCCCATCCTTGGGTATGAACTCTAAGAAATACATAAAAGCAAAAAAAAAAAAAATCAAAAAGATGAGAGCTATGTACCTATAAAGCCCTTTAGTGCATTAAAAATAAAAAATAAAAAAAATAAACCAACCCTAATTTCATTTGCTGTAAACTAGAGCAGAGCAGTAGCCTTAAATCAAGTGTCCTGCCTTTCCTGAGCGGCAGTTAAAGACCCAGGGCAACTTGCCATGGAAACAAAGCAAGGCTAGGTAAGGTCTGCTCGGGCGGCAGCACGCTCGGTGGGACCGGTAAAGCCTTTGACTGAACGCAGACCGCCTGGATCCACCGACACCCACCGTCCAGCTGAAACCGGTTCTCACCTCTTCGGAAGCCAGCTTCTTTATCTAAAAAAGATGCCTGCTATTAGTACCTTTCCCTGAACCGTGAGGACGTGTGCGTGTGTGGTAGACGTTCGTAACTGAAGTGAGGCACCTAACGCACTAGTAGTCGAGGGATGCTAGCCGGGCGGAGCAGGTTCGCGAAGGGTCGGCGTGTCCGTGGGGCAGAGCGCGTTCCTCCACGCGGGGTGCGGTGCTCCAGCCGCGCCGGGAGCCTCACTTGCCTACCGCCGCCTCCGCTCAGCTAGCGCGGTCTCGGCCGGCAGAGGCTCCACAGGCAGCCGGGCTCCGCCGCAGCCCAACGGTCATGTCCTCACCCTCCTCCCAAGCGCGGTCTCGGGCGGGCAGGGGCTCCTGCAGTAGTGATGACTCGAGCTCCAAGGACACAGGCGTAGGCCGGAATAAAAGCGGGCCGTGGCTGTCCAGGCAGGTGGCCCCAGGTGCCTTGGGCCGCGTAACCTAGGAGACGGAGCGCGTCTCCGGATGGCGGGGGCGGGGCCTCAGGGGCCGACGGAAAAGAGGCGGTTGAAGAGGGCTCGTGGGGGCGGGGCCTAGGGGCGGGACCGGAGGTGTGGCCTCTGCGGAAGGGCCCTGAGGGGCGGGGCCACGGGTGGGGCGGGGCTGTCCAAGATGAAGGAATTAGTAGAGGGCTGAAGGGGCAAGAGGCTGGATCTTGAGTCCCACTCGAGAAAAGCAGTTTCTGTACACCTCAGTGATTGAGACAGTCAAACACGGGAGTCCTTAAATAAACGTTGGTTGTGCTGTTTGTATCAACGTGCTAGCGTGGAAACATAGAAAGATTTTTTTCCCCCACGTCACAAGGGTAAAGTGCTGATGCGTAACAAGGTTTGAGGGCGGCACATGTCACGCAGCCGCGTGAACACCCAATCATCACGCTCATTGGTTCAAGAGAATGAGAAAACAGAGTTACTGGAGTTATGGTATCTAAGTTGTTAAAGTAATGAGGTTTTATTTTATGTTCTCTTGCTCAAAAGAAGTCTTGGGTGCTTCAAGATCCCAAGGGAAAACTGCACATTCAAGAAGTACATGAGGGTTGGAAGCATGGCCTTGCAGAGGAGGGGGGCGGGCTTGACTTCCAGCACCTACATGGCAGCTAACACCTGTCTGTAATTCTAATTTCAGGGAATCTCACACCTTCTACTGGTCTCTGAGGCACCAGGCACTCATGTAGTGCACTTACACACATGCAGGCTAAACACTCATACAGCTAAAATGAAAATAAATTTTTTAATAACAAAAACAATTGGAAGCTAGGTGTGGTGATGCAGGCCTACAGTCCCAGTCCTTGGGATGCTGAGACAGATGGATAAGGAGTTTGAAGACAACTTGGACTGTATAGTGAGATCCTGCCCCTACCCCCCCCCAAGAAAAGCACATAAAAATATCTGTGTTTGGAATTCGGAATAATGATGGTTTTTTGTCCCTTAAAAAATAATATTCATTGGCTAAGCCTAATGAACATTATTTTTAAATTTCGGAAGGAACCTGGAACAGGGGGTATTGCCTGCATTTATGTAAGTGCACCCATGTCATGCAGTGCCTGGGGATATCAGAAGAAGGCATCGGATTCCTCCGAAGGAGTTACTGAGGGCTTGTTAGCTGCCATGTAGGTACCGGGAATCGAACTCAGGTACTCTGCAAGACCAGCCAGTACTCTTAACCCCTGAGCCATCTCTCCAGCACTTAGCTAGCTTTCTTATAGAGTCCAGGCTGACCTGCCTATGATGGTGCTGCCTCTCATGAGCTGGGTCCTCCAACATCAATCATCAATCTAAACAGTCTCTCACAGATATGGCCACAGGCCAGTCTGATCCGGGAAATCTCTCTTTTGAGGCTCCATCTTCCCAGGTGATTCTAGGTTGGGTTAAGTTGATGATAAAAACTAGGACATGAACATTATTTTGAAGGGACAAAAAACAGGATTGGATAAACAGACACAGAGCATTAAACAGCAAAGTCCTCCTCCTCCTCCTCCTCCCCCTCCTCCTTCTAGATAGGCTCTTGCTAATATTGTCCAGGCTAGCCTTTATTTTGCTTTCCTCCTGCCTCAACTTTCCAAATGCTAACTTTCCATCACCCAGCCAGAATTTTATTTACTTATATGTGTATGTGTTTGTGTATGTGTATGTGTATGTGTATGTGCATGCTTACGTGTGGGTGGGGCACATATGTGTGGGGAGTACATATGCACATGTATGCATTTGAAGGCCCAAGGCTGATATCAGGTATCTTCCTCACTGTTCACTTTACATATTGTGACAGGGTCTCTTGCTAGACCAGAAGCTCCTGGTTTCAGGTGGCCTGACTATGCAGTATGCTCCAGGAATCCTTCACTGCACCTCCAGTAGCCTGAGATTACAGGCTGTTACCAGCCACACCTGGTTTTTTATGTGGGTACTGGGAATCTGAACTCTAGTTCTCATGATTGTGAGACAAGCACCTTTTCCTGTTAGTGGTGGTGGTGATTTAGGGTTTCTTTTCTTTGACTCCCTCTCTCTTCCTTCCCTCCCTCCCTCCCTCCCTCCCTCCTTCCCTCCCTTCCTTCCTTCCTTCCTTTCTTCCTTCCATGCTAGGGATCAAACCAAGGAAGGACTTCACAAATGATAAGAAAGTGCTATATGGAACTAAATCACTACCCCTGAGCTGATCTTTTTAAAATTTTTATATTTCAATTTTATGAGTGTTTTGCCCAGGTGTGTCGAAGTGCACCCATGTTATGCAGTGGACCCTCAGAGACCAGAAGAAGGCATCTGATCTCCTGAAAGTAGAGCTAGAAAAGTTGTTAGCAGCCTTGTGGGTGCTGGGCACCAAACTTGTGTCCTCTGGAAGGGCAGCCATTGCTCTTAACCACTCAACTCAGCCATCATTCCAACCCTGCTGAGCTGATCTTTCAATGCAGTAGAGATGCCTAACTGGGCCCAGTCAAGATCAGCCAATCTCCAAGTTAAACACGTGTAATAAATGACCATAAAGCACTGAATTTGGAGAGGTTTAGTATAGGATATTAATTATAGCAGTAGTTTCTCTGTAAGCTTCTTAATTATCTAACTTTTGTTTATACTACATGTGGGAGATAAAGATGAAATGTGCTGTCTTTTCTATCAAAGGGCTAAATGAGAAAAAGAAAGTCCCAACTTCAAACAAATTAATAAAAAACAACACCTGGCAAAACTCCATCCCCAGCCAGTATTTTTCTAAGATTAAAGTTTGTGCTCAAGGTTGTATCTGCTCTCAAAAACTGCATTTTTGCTTATCAGCTGTGCCATTTATAGTCAACTGTGTAAGAATATGAGGGCAAGCTCTGACTAATCAGAGTGAGGAACAGGACTCCTTTGCATTGGGAATAGAATTACCCAGTGGAACCCTCTCTCCATGCCTGATTGTTTGCTGTATTTAGGAGGGGCTTTCCACCTTTCTGCCAAAGTAAAACTTTTTGCCTTGATTTGGAGTGTGTGGTCATTTTCTTGAGAACGTAGACCCATTTCTAACACTACAAATAACAGGGTAGGCATGATGGCATACACCTGTAATCCCCACCATTCAGTCGGCTGAGGCAGGAAGAGGATCATGGATCAAACCAGCCTGGGCTATATAGTATAATCTGGTCACAAACAATAGCATCTACTACTGTTGTGAAAAGAAAACAAAATAACTCTCGTGCAGCATTTAGTACAATGTCTAGTGTAGATAAAAATATTGATTCTTAAGTTCTATTATTATTATTGTTATGATTCTTTGAACATCTAATCTGTGGAACTAATTTTTCCATGTTTTAGTATGGCAGCAATGACATTTAAAAAGAAACATGGAAGAACAAAAATACATTGAGAAAATGATAAGAAGACTCTGGTCAGGAAAAATCAGAAAGAATTGTGCATATTTTCCCTGAGAAAGTGAAGGCAATAAAACTATTATTATTCTTAGAAAAGAATCTGGCCTTTATGCTTGTTTTAGAACACCAGATTAGAAATCTACATACAGTGATGGATTTAATGTAAGAGAAAATAAATAGGGCTGACAAATTTTGAGCAAACTGTCTTATTGGATTTTTTTTTAATTCAAAGCTAAATGATTGAGGAAAATGATGTCAACACCCAGATGTAGTAGTGGGAATCTTCAGGAAATAAGCTATAGAAAGCTGGATAATCATTGTCAGAAGAGGTAGGTGACACCTTAATCCCCCTTTTTTAGACAGAGATTCACTATGTATCTCTGGCTGGCTGGAACACATTATGTAGACCAGACTGGCCTCAAACTCACCAAGCTTAACCTGCCCTGGCTTCCTGAGTGCTGGAATTAAAGGTGTGTGTATCACCACGCTCAGCTACATCTGTATCATTGTAGCTTAAATAACAAAGCAGAGTAAGGAAAAGGGCGTGGGGTTGTAATGGCCCCAAATGGAGTTCCCCAAAATTGTAATGACCAGAGTAACTTCATTTTGTACAAAGTAGCCACTTTAAACTTCAAAAGCTAGAGAGATGGCCAAGCCAGTTCAAGGTCGGTTCTGAACTTACTTTCCCTTAGAAGAGTGTTTTTCTTTGAAGTAGCTGCAGCTGTGCTTCTTGCCTAGCCAAAGGAACTAACCAAAACAATATCCTGTCTTTCTTGTTAAAATGCTAAAATTATAATAATCAGAGGTTCCTTACTGTCAAGGTCTCTATTTTTAAGGTTTCATGACCCCCCCCCCAAACAGCACCATCAACTGACCAAGTGTTCAAATACTTGGGCCTATAGGGGAGATTCTCACTCAAACCACAATACAGAGAGTCTGTAAGAGTTTTAATTCTTACAACTGTGTGACCAAAATAAGATGGACAGTGATAGAGGACACTCTACACCTCCTGGCCTCCAGGAATACAAACGCATGTGCACTCTTACACACACAGGTGCCCTATGTCCATAAATACACAAAACAACTTCTGCTGCCTTGGCAGCTAGGCAGCATGAACCACACTCTTGAGAAACTCAGAGCAGTGCCACTGGATCATACATTGAAACCTGGCCAGAATACTGCTAGACCATGTAGTATTCAGTCAACTAGAAACTTGCTCACAGACAGAGCCCTCTGCAGGGGAACTTTCCCGCAGACATTAGGCAGTAAGATAGACATTAAAAAGGATCATACGGGGGGGTGGGGCCAGCACCACTGGACTCCGCCTAGAGCTGTGAACAGAATCTTGATAGTCTACCTTTGAAACGCTGCCCACAGACAGGACCAGTGTCTATAACCCCATCTCCCAAAGGAAGGCCCAGAACAGGACCACCCAGGGGTGTGACCAGTATCTGTGACTTGACATTATGAAAGAATGCCCAGGGGTGAGACAGACCTCTGGGAGCACCACAAGGAACAGAGAGACTGTAGACTGAATCTAGCAAGCAGGCCAGATCAAATTCATGACCATTCTCTCTCCTTCACACTTATTTCTCCTTTCTGTTTTCTATGTTTAAATATTTTAATTAAAATGAAAAATTTTGAAATACATTTGTTGGTCTACTTTGCACACTTTATCTCCATTCTTTTCTCTCAATTGCATTGAGTTAACATTTCTTAAAGAAAAATTTCCAAATTTAGAAGTTTGTTAGGCAGGACAAAGACTAACAGTAGCAAGAAAAGATGCTGAAGTCCAAGAATGTTTTCCCCCTTTATTTAAGAACCAGTATCAGTTGAATTTCAGCTCTGTCCTGCTCTGTTTCATTCTTTCCTTTCACTCTCCCAAATAACTTAGACAGGCCTGGTTAATGGGGTCTCTGTGTATTAGCCTCTTGAGAGCTGGAACTAGTCCACGTTCATTGTTACTTTATCATATTTCTTTACTGCTCTTTAGTCTACCATTGACCCAAACTGCCTCATCTCTTTCCCTTTTGTCCCTTTATGTTCCCCTCCTCTATTTTTT